ACTGTGGCGTCGCGCTGCGTGGGCTGCGCAGTCGGGGCAGGATTGGCATCAGCAGCTGGCTGCGTGGCTGGAGTCGTCGCAGCAGTAGTCGCCGCCACGCTGGCTGCCGCCGTGATCTGCGTCAGTGCCGACTGCAGTCCGTCCGGGGCCGTGGCCAGCCCCGCGACCTGCTGTGCCACGCTCACCTGGCCCTGCTGGACCTCGGCGACGGTCGCGACCGAGGCGCCTGACATCTGGGCGGGCGCCGTCGCCACGGGCGCGGCGGGCGCCGCGCCCTCCGCCACGGGCGTCGCGGCGCCCTGCATCTCGACGTCATTGGCGGCGGCTGGCAGCGGGGAGAGGGTCTCGAGCTGCTGGGGCAAGACCTGTGCACGGGTCAGCTCGCTGGCACGACGCCGCTGGACCAGCTGGCGAGCCTCGTGCTCAATCATGGCCTCGTGCGCCGCCTTCTCTGCACGTTCGGAGCGGCGTTGGGCCCGCTCGACGAACGCCCGCTGCCTCGCACGGCGCACCTCCGGGGTCCTGGCCACGATGATCATTGTCATCAAGACTGAGTATTCTTGCTCCTGCGCCTCCAGGATGCTGGTCGGCCGACGAAGGACGAGACGCGGGACGCGCGAAGCATCTTTGCCGACGCCACTGCCATGCAGCGGAGGTTGCGCCTGCGGGTGGCCAAGGCAGCAGGGTCCGTCGGCAGCTGCACCCAGGCCGGGTGCGCACGCGCCTGCTCTGGCATTGCAGGGAGCACCCCGAGCGCCTCCTGCGGGCCTGTCGGACGATCCGCCGTCTCCTCAGTCGACTCGGGCCCACTCTCATCGAACGCGACGTCAATAGCTGGCGAGCGACGGCGGGACGACCGGCGTCGGGAGGGCACCTCTGGGGCTGGTCCTCCGCAGGCTCGCCATCTCGCTGCTGGGGCTGGGGCGGCAGCGGAGCGCGGCTGGGGCTGCGCTGACGAGCGCTGCTGTGCGCCGGCCTTGAGGTGCGCCTCCGCCTCCGCTGGTCGAGTCCACTTCCTCCGTGCTGATCTCGCCCGCTGCCCGCTGCTGCATGCTGCTGCTGGTGCTGCTGGTGCTGCTGCTGCCCGCTGCCTGCATGCTGCTGCTGGTGCTGCGGCTGGTCGCGGAAGACGCTGAACGCCGCGGGACTCTGCTGCGGGAGCGGGTAGCAGGTCCTGCACATCACGTCACTGGCGGCGTTTGCGCGCCCGCATGCTGGACACCACCACGGCGGGGGCGGCGGGGACGGCGGGGACTGACCGCCCTTTCCTCCGCCCTTGCTTCTGGCCTGCCACGCCATCGCGCTGTGGTGCGTCGCCAGGCACCTCGAAGCACTCGCTATGCGAAGAACAAATCGAGCTTGAGCGCGCTGAGCACGAGCACGCCTGTGCCACGCCGGCTCGCTGCCGCCGCCGCTGGGGCGCTGGCGCGGCGTGCCGCCACCAGGGGGGCATCGCCGCGAGCAGCGCGAGAGGCACGCCAGGAGCAGGCCCGCCGCGAGCAGCGCGAGCGGCGGCGCGGTGGGGCCCGCGCGCCCGAGGCGCGGGCGCGGGCCGGCGCGCGTGGCTGCCCGCCCCGAGGGAGGTTCGCCGTACCTGGTACGGCGCCCGAAACCTCTCGAACCGGGGCGGCAGCTATCGGGAGGCGGGAGGAGGGAGGTGGCCGAAAGTCACGTAAACGAGAACATGGATTACAGATTTGTGGGTTCGGGACGCGGGCGCGAAAACGAGTAACCAACCTTACTTGACAGTCAACGCCTCCAGCAAGTAATACGACCCGATGTGGCGACGGTGCGTGTCGATTATGGCATGCGCGGGTCTGTTTGGGGTAAAGTGTTGTCGGTAAGGATGACCAAGGATGCTCGGATGCACCAGCGGAGGAAGATCGAGTGGCCCCCGTCGGCGATTTGGCAGGGCAAGCCCTAACGCTTCAATCGCCAATGATGGCGCTGTGCGCAACGCCAGCCAAGCAGCCGCGCATAGGCTCGAGCACAATCCAGGGTGCATGAGAGCATGTCAGTGAAAGGGCAACCAACACCAGGACCTTACACGAGACCAAACTTGGCCCGCTCGCCACCAAACGACCATCGCAAGCAGCCACCATGAACACTCAGTGAGGTACCGACACGCATTTGCTCGGCAATCGAAGTGCGAGCGGATCGGGACCATAGATCCATGGATTTGACGAACGGACCTAGGGGGCTCCATCCGTAGATTGGCGACATGCGCCCAGACCTCCCCCCGAAGGCAACGCAATTTTGTTTACCCAGCCCCCCGAACCGAGGTGCCAGTCCACGTCGCGCATGCACTTGCTTTACCACAGCGAGCGGGCGAGCGCACGGATTAACAACGTGGACTAGCGGGGAACGCTCGGGAGTAAGACACCCAACAACAGAAACACACACGGCACGCTTTCTGGCGGCAGCGGCCTCGCGCGCAGCGACGAGGCGCAGAGGGCGCAACAGTCGGAGCAGCGCGCGCGACGGCCCGGCCCTCAGCATCGCTTGGGATGCAAACCTACCGGCGTCGGCCATCTGGGCATAGATGGCAGGCAGGGTACACGCGAGACCATGGGAGAGGCCCACCACGGCCGCACATCCGGGCGTGGACAGCGTGGAGAACGCAGGGGAGGGCCCCGACGCAGGCACTCGGAGACACGCACTCCTCTTGGCGCCGCGGCGCGGCAGCGGCAGTCCGCACGCGCGTCCGGGCAACCGGGGGCCACGGCATGGAGAGTGGCCCCGCGTGCAACGAGGAGGTGGAGAGGAAGAGGGACGGCCGCGGAGGAGGGGCAGCGACGCGCACACAAACTGGTGTTCGTCGGCGGCGAGGCAGAGGCAGTCCGCTCCAGCGCGTGGCGGCCACGCACACACACACACACAAGCAGAAGGCGAAAAGCTCCACCGGCACCGCCGGGGGGCCCCCTGGCGGCTCGATAGGGGCCCACCACGCGCGGCCGCGCGGGCGGGGCGAGGGGCAAAGGGGCGCAGGCGGGGGACCCGGGCGGGGAGGGGGGGGAGGACCGATTGGAGGCGGCAGGACAGCGTGGAGACAGCCTCCACGGACGGCAAGACGGGGGGACCAGGGACTGCAGACACCATCCGCCAGGCAAGCGCGGGAGGCAGTGAGACGTTCGCCGCGACCCAGGATCGGACGGAGGAGGAGGAGGAAGGAGGAGGAGGAGGAGGAGGAGGAGGAGGAGGAGGAGGTGGGGGAGGAGGAGGAGGAGGAGGAGGAGGAGGAGGAGGAGGAGGAGGAGGAGGAGGAGCGATGATGAGGAGGAGCGACCGCACTGCAGGGAAGTATAGTCAGACCTGGGACAGGAAGGAGAACATCCTTCAAGAACATGAGGCCCTCCGCCGGCCAAAACGAACAGCATTCGAGGGTACCCTCCCCCAAGATGCACAAGAGCATCCAACGCATTTTTGCGTCGGCGGCTGGGCAGAGGGACTGCTCCAGCGATGAGAACATACACTCACACACACGCACCCAGACACACGAAGAAAGTTAGATTACCCTCCCCGAACCGAACTCGATCTTATACCTCGGTCCGACTGTACATGGGAGGGAGGGGGAGAAAACAAGGAAAATAAGAGTAGTCAAGCTGCCACAAAGGTATGACGGAACCCACACCCCCACCCTTCACCACCACCCCGCAGCACCAGCCCGCCATGCGGCATGTGGCAAACATTGGCCGAATGGCACGAGCAGCAAGACTGTGAGCATGCAGTGCCGAGACCTTGCTAAATTCAACGCTTGCATATAAACCTGAGGTCACCGATGTGTGCCCTGACAGAAGAAATGCTTTACTGGAACATGTACGTCCGGACCATTCGCTTACCCGCTTGCTTTGATCCGCGATTCCGCTTCGGGGATGGAGGAGGGAGGGAGGAGGAAAGCAAAGGAAGGAGAGGGGGATGAGGGGAGGGAAAGTGAGGAGGGAGGAGTCATCAGGAAAGGAGGATGAAAAAGGGGGAGGGAGAGCGATGGCGATGGGAGAAGGGAGGAGAAAAGGTGAAGGAGAAGAGGGAGGAAGCTGGAGGGAGGGAGAAGGGAGGAGGGATAAGGAATACCCTCATCCTAATCCGAGTCCTCATCCTCCTCCTACTCCCCCTCCTCCTCATCATCGTCATAATCATCACCACCACCACCACCACCACCATCATCATCATCATCATCATCATCATCATCAGCAGCAGCAGCATCATCAACATCATCATCATCATCATCATCATCATCATCATCATCATCATCATCATCATCATCATCATGGTCATCATCAGCAGCATAACCATCAGTATCGCCACCACCACCACCACAACCATCACCATCATCCTCATTCCCATCATCAACATCATCATCATCATCATCATCATCATCAGCAGCAGCATCATCATCACCAGATAAATGATCATACTCATCACCAACATCAGCATTGTCTTCAACATCATCAGCATCATCATCACCACCCCCACCATCATCATCATCATCATCATCACCCTCATCATCATCAGCATCATCACCACCACCACCACCACCGCCATCCTCAGCATCATCATCATGATCATCATGATCATCATGATTATCATCATCATGACCATCATCATCATCATAATCATTATCATCATCATCATCATCATCATCATCATCATCATCATCGTCATCATCATCATCATTAATATTGTCATCATCCTCCTCGTCATCGTCCTAATCATCATCCTCATCATCATCATCATCACCACCACCACCACAATCATCATCATCATCATCACCACCATCATCATCACCATCGTAATCGCCATCATAATCACCATCCTTATCCTCATCTTGCTTCTCCTCCTCCTCCTCCTCCTCCTCCTCCTCCTCACCCTCCTCCTCGCGGGCGAAGGAGGCGGAGGAGCAGGAGCTTGCCTGGAGTCTGGGCTCCGTGGAGGTGCCAGCTCGCGCGGTCGCGCGAGTCGAGACAGCGCCGAGCGAGCGCGCGCGCGGCTGAGGCGGGCGCCAGACGCTCAGTGGCCTCCGCGCCCTCGTCCTCGAACTGTTTCTTGAGGAAGTTCTTGAAAGCTTTGAGCCTGGGGGCGCGCCAGCCCGCCCGCCCCTGTGCCCGGACCTCTGGCGCACCGAAAAGAAGCGGCACGGAGGTCTTCCTCTGGGGGCCCTCGCTGGGCCCCGGGACCATCAAAAAACGACTCGGGATGCAAAACCCGACCTGGGGAAAGGGTCGGGACTTCCGAGGCCCCGTGTTGAAAAAAACATATCTGGGTTGCGCTCCTCGACAGTCGCTTCTCGATCGAGCATGCAAGCCTCTGGACGGGCTCCGGCCTGCCTGGGGCCTCTGGATGCCCTCGGAGGCCTCTGGGGCCTCGAGAAATCACATCCCTCCCCCCCTGGCTCATCAGTAACTGTCTCGAGCTGTTGCATGCAAAACCTCAGCCTCGCCGCACTGGCGAATTACGCTGGGGGGGAGGGTATGAGAAGGGAAGTGGGAGGGATAGCCTTGCCTCCTCCTCATCTGCATCCTCCTTCTTCTCCTCCTCATCCTCCTCCTCATCCTTCTTCTTATTCGTATTAATACTTTTACCATTCCAAATATTATTATTCTTAGTTATATGTATAATAGTCGTATGTTTCGCCTTATTGATAATATTATAGTATTATCATTAGCATGATTAGTACTACTATTGCTAATAGACTTCTTAATACGATTAGTATTAGTCGCCGTATTAGTATGAATACTGTCATCCTTATTAGTATGATTATTATTGGTAGTAGTCGTATTATTCTTAGTACTAACCTGATTATCCCTATTATTATGAGTGTTATCAGTAGTACAATTAGTAGTACTATTCTTCTGAGTATTACTCTTATTAGTGGACTCATTGTTCGTAACATTGTTAGTATTCAAATTCGTTCGTTTTCTCTTTTTATTCTTCACATTAGAATAATTATTCTTGTTTTCATTCATATTAACATGCTTATTACTGCTCATCATCATCATCGTCATCATCAGCATCAGCATCATCATCATCATCATCATCATCAGCATCATCATCATCATCATCATCATCGTCATCGTGATCGTCATCATCATCGTCATCATGATCATAATCATCAGCAGCAGCATCATCATACTCACAGTCGTCATCATAATCATTTTGTCATCATCGTCAACATCATCACCATCAGCATCAGCATTATCATCACCATCATAATCGTCATCATCATATTCAGCATCAGCTTCAGCTTCATCTTCATTCAAGAAACTCCCGAGGGGGTCTAGATCCTAGGGGTTTAGATCCTAGGGGTATCGGGCGTGTGCTTGATGGAAAGCATTTGGCTTGTGATGGAAAACATTTGGATTTAGATTGAAAACACTTGGGCGTTGATGGACATGGCTGGATGCCATTTGGTTTCATGATGTTGATGCTGATGGTTATGATTAAAATGGTTACATGATTATGATAATGGTAATAATGATTAACATGATGCATATGATGACGATGACGATGACGATGATGATGATGATGGTAATGGTGATGATGGCTCTTGCTTTGTTTGCACAAGGTGTGTACTGATAACAACAATGCATCAGTACATCCCCAATCTAGCAGGAGGTATAAGCCACTCTGCCGCCCCGCGTCTATATGTGCATTCAGATGCGCAGCAGGAGGCTGAAGCACTCTGCTTCAGAGAGCGATCACGATCCAGGCATCCAGGCATCCAGGAATTCAGGCATCCAGACATCCATGCATCCATGCATCCATGCATTCATGCATCCATGCATCCATGCATCTATGCATCCATGCGTCCATGCATCCATGCATGCCTGCATCCATGCATCCATCACATCTACCATGTCGACAAATCGATCGCATCCATCACATCCATGCATCCATGCATCCCGTCCATGCATCCCTGCATCCCTGCATGCCTCCGCCCCCGCCGCTGGCGACGACGACGACGACGACGGTGGCGCCGACGACGACGCCGACGCCGCGGCCGACGGCGCCGACGACGACGACGCCGACGACGACGGCGCCGACGACGACGACGACGGCGCCGACGACAACGCTGGTGCCGACGACGCCGACGCCGACGACGACGGCGCCGGCGCCGACGTCGACGACGACGACGACGATGGCGCCGTCGACGGCGACGACGCCACCGCCGACGGCGCCGACGACGACAACGATGACGACGACGATGGCGCCGACGACGGCGGCGACGACGATGACGCCGACGACGACGCCGACGACGACGACGCCGACGCCGACGACGACGACGACGACGACCAAGACGGCGCCGACGACGACGGCGACGCCGCCGCTGACGAGGCCGACGACGACGACGACAGCGCCGACGTCGACGGCGACGACGACGACGACGACGTCGCCGACGGCGCCGACGACCACGACGACGACGGCGCCGACGACGGCGGCGACGACGACGACGAGGGCGCCGACGACGACGCCGACGACGACGACGCCGACGGCGCCGCGATCGAATCAAAATCCACATCGAAAAGTAGAGCGCAAAAACAATCAGAATCCATCAAAATCCATCAGAATCCATCAAAATCCATCAAATCCATCAGAATCCATCATTTGATGAATTTTGATGGATGTGTCTCGAAATGGCTTGGATTTTGATGGATTCTGATGGATTTTGATGGATTTTGATGGATTCTGATGGATTTTGATTCTCAGCTGGCGGCGACGACGGCGACGACGACGACGAAGGCGACGACAACGCCGACACCGCGGTCTGCCGCGTCCCGTCGATCGTCGTCGATCGTCGTCGATCGTCCTCGATCGACGATCGAAGATCGACGGACGACGATCGACGATGACGATCGACGACGATCGACGATCGACGATCGACGACAATCGAAGATCCACGGTCGACGATCGACGAACGACGAACGACGAACGATCGACGATCGACGGTCGACGATCGACGATTGACGAATGGTCGACGATCGACGACAGGCGATCGTCGATCGACGATGGACCTTCGACGGCTGACAATCGACGACGACGATCGAAGATGACGACGATCGGCGACGGCGACGATCGACGATCGACGACGATTGACGATCGACTACGAGGCTGACGACGAAGACGAAACCGACGACGAACGACCCGCGACCATGCCAGCCCGAGCCGTTCTGGCGCTCGCCCCCTCGCGCAGTCCATATCAAGTCCCTGTCTTGTTCCGACGACGACGACGACGCTCGACGCTGACGCCGACGACAGACGTCGACGACGAAGCGACGACGACCATGCCGACGCCGAGGACGACGTCTCCGACGACTCCCACGACGACGACAACGACGAAGGCGACGACGACGACGACGACGACGCCGACGACGTCGACGACGTCGACGACGACGCCGCCGACGCCGACGCCGCCGACGACGACGAATAGGGCGGGAGGGCTGCTGCTGCTTGCTTATCCCAGGCCTCGTCATCCTCCTTTTCTTCCTCCTCCTCCTCCTCCTCCTCTTCCTCCTCTCCTCATCCTCCTCATCCTTCTCCTCCTCCTCCTCATCCTGCTCATCCTCCTCATCCTGGCTAGCAGAGTTGCGATGATGACGATGATGATGCTGATGGTGATGACGATGATGATGATGATGATGAAGATGATGAGGATGATGATGATGATGATGATGATGATGATGACGATGATGATTGCAAGCCCAGCCCAAGTTGCAATGGCCGATAGTGACAGGATGGATGGATGGATGAATGGATGAATGGAAGGGCTGGTAGGTGGGTTCATGGATAGATTGATGGATTATGGCGGTTGTGCGTAATGGATGGATGGGTGTATTGATGGACTGATGGGTGTACGGATAGATGAATGGCAATGAAAAATCGATTATTCTCCAGCAATGTTTTCTTAATAAAAACAATCAGGATCTAAACCCCTAGGATCTACACCCCCTCGGAATGTTCAGGATTCATGTTCATCTTCATCATCATCATCATCATCATCATCATCAGCAGCGTAATCATCATCATAAGCAGAATCATCTTCATCATCGTCATCATCATCAGAACCTCCTCCTCCTCATGATCATCAGCAGCATCATCATAATCAGCATAATCCTCATCATCATCATCAACATCGTCATCATCATCACCATCATGATCACCACCACCATTATCATCACCACTACCACCACCATCAGCAGCAGCATCATCAGCATCATCATGATTATCAGCATCATGGTCATCATTGTCAACATCATCCTTACCATCAGCACCATCACCATCAGAATCAGCGTCATAATCATCGTCATCGGCATCATCATCATCATCAACATCATCTGTATCATCATCAACATCATCATCAGAGTCATCATCAGCAGCATCGTCGTCGACATTTATCTCACCACCACCAACATCATAAACAGCAGAACCACAATCATCAGCATCATCATCATTACCCTCATCATCAAGCGTTCCTCATCAGCATCATCACCATCATCCTCATCATCAGCATCAGCTTCATCATCGTCACAATCGTCAGCATCACCGTCATAATCAGCATCATCACCATAATCACCACCACCGTTATCAGCATACTCATCATCACCACCGTAATCAGCATCATCAACATCATCAGCAGCATCATAAGTTGCATCATCGCAGCCGCCACCGTCGTCGTCGTCATCACAATTACCATCAGCTTCATCATGATCACTATAATTAGTATTACAATCCTCAACCTCATCCTCATCCTCATCCTCGTCCCCATCATCATCCCGCATGATGCTCCTCCTCCTCCTCCTCCTCCTCCTCCTCCTCCTCCTCCTCCTCCCCCTCCACAGCATCATCCGTAGCCCTTCTGGCCCATGTCTGTCCCTGGGCCCCCTGCTCCTGGACCCTGCCCCTCGGCGCACCCCCGTCCCCGGACGGGCGCGAGGGCCCAAGTTGATGGGCCTGTTTTCCACCACCACCACCATAAGTTGGAGGGGGAGGAGGTGGAAAACGAGGAGGAGGAGGAGGAGGACAAAGAGGAGGAAGAAGAGGAGGAGGAGGAGGAGGAGGACCCCCTCCCCCTCCAA